CGGCCCGTGTGTGCCCTGATGGGGCGGCCTGCCACAAGCAGGTGGCTCACCCTCCTTTGGGGCACCTCCTTGGGTGCAGAGTTGATTTTTGGGGTGGTGGCAGCAACAAAGTCATCAGTACTCGGGTAGGAGAGGGGAAGGGATTCATTAAGGGAGGCGGCTGAGCGAAATGGGTTGAAATGGGACAAGCAGTGCCTGACCCACTGCCTGGGAGTCCCTGTGGGGCTCAGCCCTGCTCGATTTTGGGCTTTTTCGTTTGTGATTTGGCCATGGAGGGGCCGGCCAGTGGCTCCTGCTCGGTGCCTGGAGGAGGGAAAGGCAGCTGAGGAAGTGGCAGGAGGGGGGGGTTTGGAAAGGCAGCTGAGGTAGTGGCAGGAGGGGGGAGTTTGGCCCCTCTTGTGGAGATTTGTTACCTTCCCAGGTGTGGGCTGCCTTCATGCTCCCTGGGTTCCTCTTGCTTGCTGCCCTGTGCTCCACAGGGGGTAGTGTGGGGTGGGCTGGGGGTGGTGGTGCCCACCAGGCAGCCTGCTGCTCCTGTACAGCCCGTGGTGCCCTCCAGGCCTCGTAGATGTACTCAGTGGGGAAATCCTTGAGGGGGGGGAGGTATTTTCTATGGCGAGGGGTCAAAGTCACCAGGGAGGCCACCTGTGATTTCCCATGGCTGTGGGTTTTGCACCTACTGAATGTAAGCCCTGTCCCAGTCCATCTTCTTGCCAAAGGCAATGGGTGAGTAGACGTGGAAATATCAGTGGAAGAAGGCACTGCCCGACAGCCACAGCCAGTTGTCAGCATTGAGGGACCAGTCTGTGTCTAGCAGGAGCTCCTCAGAGACCTGCAGGACACCGCGGTGGCATGGAGACGGGGTCCCCGAGAGCTTTGGGGGCCTTGGAGGAGATCTCCTGACCTTCAGCCCTGCTTCCCAGGAGATGCAGAGGTCCCCACGGCTGAGGAAGCAGGCGATGGCGTGCCGAGCGAGGTGGTGGATCCAGCCCTTGGCATGATGGCGTCGATGAAGGGGTAGCCTGTCCGGCCCTGGTGTGGGGTGCTGGGGTTAGATGGGACCGGGGGATGTTTTTGTGGGGGTCAGAGGATTTGGGGGTTTATCCCTGAGGGAAATCCCTCCTTTGACCTGCAGGCTTCCAGGGTTGCCGATCATCCCGTTGAAACTGGGGATGCTGGCACTGGCGGTGTAGAAAAACTCCCTCCAGAGGAGCTGCCTGTGCAGGGAGACAGGGG